ATTTTAAAACCTGGATTCCTAGGAGATCACACCTGGGTAAGTATACTTGGGTGGTCAGCCAGTGATTGGTTGGGTTTCCTTAAATGCCTTGTCTGTTTGTCTTCCACCCTTTGATAAGGGGATCTGTGTGAGAAGGCATACTTCAAACTAACCAACTTACAAGCAGCCTTAGCTTTCACATTCTTCTTGTATAAGGCCTTACAGACAGCCAGAAGTGAGTGACTTGGGGTGTCTCCTCTTCCAGCTCTTTTTTGGGCATTTGCACAGCCTTGAATATGTGCACAGCCCTTTAGATACCTGGGAATATATCAGAGCTTTTCAAAGTTTCCTATGGTCATCCCATTCTCTAAGATTTCCTTTTACATTCCTGGCCAAAGCAGTGAGGCCTCTCTGTTGTCTGCAATTTAGTCAACCTTTGCCTGCTATTCTACTGAGCTAGAGAGGGAAGGAAGGATGGGAATTAATTACAAGTTAAAATGTCACAGAACCCGTTGTCTTACCAAGATTCAGTAGTTTTTCTTGGATCGATGATTTTCACTTCATTCTGTGTCTTTGGTTAATTGCAAGTTTTGAAATGGTTGATTTTAGTTGGTTTGCCCATAATTTTATTGTTTTAAAGGGAAAGCTAGTTCACCAAAGCCCTTATTCTGTCATTCCGTTATCTCCTATTGCTCCTGTCTTTAAAAAAACATCTAAAACCTTATTCATCGCACATCCTGTGCAACTATGACTTTCTCTATTCCCCTAACAACACAACTCTCCAAAAGAGCTTTCATTCCTCACTTCATCCTATTTTTCTATTCTCTTTTTGTTCATATGAAAATATTGGATATATAATACAAATTATATATATGAGTTATAAAGAAATATAATAATGAAAACTGAAGAAGTCACAACTCCATGCAAGAGCAACATTAATGATAGCATCTATCTCTGTGTCTTTTTCTGTCCTATTTCCTACCATCCCCCCCACCAGAAATTACCATTTCTTAAGTCTTGTGTTTAACATTCCCTTGCTTTTTTTGATATATTTTTTGGGGCGCCTGGGTTGCTCAGTCGGTTAAGCATCCAACTCTTGATCTCTGCTCAGGTCATGATCTCACGGTTTCATGAGTTCGAGCCCCATGTCCGGGTCTGTGCTGATAGTGCAGAGCCTGCTGGAGATTCTCTCTCTCTCTTTCTCTGCCCTTCCCCCTCTTATGCTCTCTCCCTCTCTCTCAAAATAAACAGTAAAAAAAATTGATATATTTTTTTCGTATTTGTGGAAATGCTTAACCAATACATTATTTATTTGCTTGGTTTTGAGCTTTTTAAAATAGCATCATACTGGTTTTGAGCTTTGTAAAAATAGTGTCATACAAGTCTTCTGTGACTTACTTTTTTCACTTTATTGGCCATTCATGTTTATTCCGTGAAATGACTGTTAACATCTTTTGTCCATTTTTAAAATTGGGATTTATATCAGTTTTACTGATTTGTAGGAGTTATTTAATTATTTGGATACTCATCATTTGCCAATTATATGTGTTGAATATATTTTCTCAGTTTGTGGCTTTTTTTTTTCCTTATGGTGTCTTTGCATGAGCAGGAAGTCCTGAATTGAATTGAATTTTAGTTGAACAATTCAATCTTTTCTAGCCAGCACACTTTTTTGTGTTGTCTTTTCTGAGCTGTGGTCATAAAGATATTCTTTGTTTTCTTCAAATAAAAGTTTAAAAGTTTATTTTTCCTGGGGCGCCGGGGTGGCTCAGTCAGTTAAGTGTCTGACTCTTGGTTTCGGCTCAGGTCATGATCTCAAGGTTTCGTGAGTTTGAGCCCCTCATGGGGCTCTGTGCTGATAGTGCAGAGCCTGCTTGGGATTCTCTCTCTCTCCCTCTCTCTCTCTGCCCCTCCCCCACTCACACTGTCTCTGTCTCCCTCAAAATAAATAAATGAACTTTTAAAAAAGCTTATTTTTCCTACTTAAGTCTTTAATCTGAATGGAGTTGACTTTTTGTGTGGTAGAAGGTAATGAGGTAGGGAGTCAGTTTCATTATTTTCCTATGGATAGCCTGATGATCTGAAGCGCCACCCCTGTCATACACCTAAATTCCATGTCTGTATTGGTCTGTTTCTCAAATCTCTGTTGTTGGCCAACTTTTTGTCCCTGAATCAGTATGACACCACTTTAATCACTTTACACTACTTTAATTACTTTAGTTTCATAAAGAATCTTGATAATGGGTACAGCTAAATCTTCCCCATCTCATTCTTCTTCAGGAATATCACATATTCTTAGTCCTTTGTTATTTCAAACACATTTCAGAATCGTCTTGTCATGTTCTACAAGGTATCAAAATTGCAATGACTCTATAGATCAGTTTAAAGGAAACTGAATATATTTATGATGTTGAGTCTTCCTAGGTTTGAACATGATATATACCCTTTCATTTTAAATAAATTCTTGAATGTCTTTTGGTATAGTTTTCTAATTTCTGCATAAGGGCTTGCATATCTTGTGTCAGACTTATTCTTTGATATTTATGGTTTTCTTTGATATTTATGTAAGGGAGATCTTGTTATTTAACATATTTTATCTCATTTGCAAGTGTATAGAAATGAAGTTGGTTTTGTATTAATATTAATGTTATTGCTGAACTTATATTTTTAAGCAAACTTTTTATTTTCAAATAATTTTATAGTTAGAGAAGAGTAAATAAAGAGATAGTATGGAGAGTCCCTGTGTACTCCTCACCATGGTATATTTGTCAAAACTGAGAAAGTCATATTGATATATTACTATTAACTAAACTTCAGACTTTATATGGATTTATCAGTTTTCCCACTAATGTCTTTCTTCTGTTCTAAGATGCAGTTCAAAATACCACATTGCGTTTAGTTGTTCTCTCTCTTTATTGTCCTCTGGCCTGTGACAGTTTCTCAGTCTTTCCATGTTTTTCATGCCCTTAAAAGTTTTGAGGCATATTATAGAATGTCCCTCAGTTTGGATTTGTCTGAAGTTTTCCGCATAGTTAGTCTGGGGTTGTTTTTGGAAGGCGTTCTGTATAGTTGAAGTGCCCTTCTCATCACATTATATCCGAGGTATGTGATATCCCCATGACATCACTGATGTTGACCTTAATCACTTGGTTAAGGTAGTATTTGCCCAGTCTCTCCATTGCACAGTTGTTACTTTTCCCCTTTTACTTTCTGTTCTTTAGAAGAATCTAGCCCATCTTCAAGGAGAGGGAGAGGATTTAAGCTCTACCTCTGGAAGGGGTTGTATTTACATGTATCATTTGGAATTCTTCTGTAAAAACTATTTATTTCTTCTTCTTTCTTTATTTACCTATCCATTCACTCGTTTATCCAGTCACCTGTTTGTATCAGTAAGAACTCATGCCTATTTATTTAATAGTTTGAATTATGAATCCAGTACTTTGTCATTTGTCTTGTTGCTCCAAAGTGGCCCTGGGATCTTTGGCCCCTGGGAGCTCCTTCAGGTTGGCTCCTGTGTCCCTTTGACATACCTCCATCTTTTTTTTTTTTTTTAAGCACTGCCTTTCTGGCTTTGGCACTACAAGGTGTCCCCTACTCATCTGAAGACTTTTCTGCCCCATCCCTAGCATTGACCATTTCTCAAGGATCCCTTGTTTCTTTTAAGCTGTCTGTATGTTCTTTTGTATTGTCTATGTGGACAACAATATCAGCTAACAATAATGACTGTTTTGTTTTTTCCTTTCCAATCTTTATGCCTTTAATTTATCCTTCTTGTATTACTGAGATGGACAGAACCTCCAGTATTGTATTTGAGAGGAAAAAAAACGGTAGTGGCCACCCTTGTCTTGTTGGGTATTTTAAAGGAAACCCCACTAACTTTTTTTCCCTTTTAAGAATGCTATTTACTGTAGATTTCTCCAGGTTTTATCAGATTAAAGCAAGTGCCCACCTGTTTCACTATGCTAAATTTTTATTATTGTTTTTAAATCATGAAAGGGTGTTGAATTTTTTTTTAATCAAATACCTTTTCTACTTTATAGGATGATTATGGTTTTTTTTGTCAGTAATGTGATAGTGGGGTAAATGATGTTTATAGATTTTCCTCATATTAGACTACCTTTGCATTTCTGGTATAAACACAACTTGGTCATGATCTTTTCCCTTTTATACACAGAGTAAAATTGGTCTTTAATTTTCCTTTCTCATGCTGTCATAATTGGCTTTTGGCCTCAAGTTCTGCTGGTATCATAGAATGAGTTAGCAGTCTCTCTGACAATATTCTGGAAGATGCTATATGACTTGGGAATGATCTGTTTGGTAGAAGCCTCCAGTAAAACCATTTTGGTCTGGTATTTTGCTTTCTACCATTGAATTAATATTAAATTTCTTTAAAAATTTTTTAATGTTTATTTTTGAGAGAGAGAGAGAGAGAAAGAGAGAGAGAGAGAGAGAGAGAGAGAGAGACTGACATGAGTGGGGGAGGAGCAGAGAGAGAGGGAGACACAGAAATCCGAAGCAGGCTCCGGGCTCCAAGATACTAGCACAGAGCCTGATGCAGGGCTTGAACTCACAAACCATGAGATCATGACCTGAGCCAAAGTTGGACACCCAACCGACTGAGCCACCCAGGCACCCCTTAAATTTCTAAATAAAATCTTTTCAGAAATGTAAATGAGAAGGCTGAAATCTGCTTCCATGCCATGTATATTTTATATCTGGTTTTATGCTTGAAATGGCTAAACACAAATCCTGATTTAATGATACGTTCTTCAAATTCTTAACAGTCCCCATCAACAAAAATCTTTCCTTGTACAACTAAGTGATAAAGCATTTAAAACCAATTTTTAACTTGTTCAAAAATGTTTAACAACTGAAATGATACCTAACAGCTTTTTTGTTGTTGTTGTTCTCCTGACAAATCTGTTGTTCACAGTTCTTGAGATAATGTGATTCGATTTCAAATCCAATTGACCTCTTTCATATTAATTATTTCAAAATAATGATGAAGCTCTTATTTGCAGAACACGCATCACTGTTAGAACCATCACCCTGCAGCTAGCTTGGACACCATTAAAAGGGCTCATCAGCTGCAAACGGATAGAAGTTTCTGTTATTCGTGAAGACACAGTTTCAGGGCTTCTGCCTGGAGCTACCCACCCTCCAGAAGCCCCTGCTTGGCCTCCCTGCACCCAACCCCACACCAACCAGTCACAACTTGGGCTGTGTGTGGTGTTTCTTGGCAACTGGAACGCAGACTCCTCCAGCCGCTCCACAGGCCCCTTGTCCTCAGTGAGCAGAAGACTACAGAAGCTGGCTGCCGAAGAGGCTGTCCAAGTGAGAGAGCTCCTCCTTGGCCTTGCTTATTAGCACATTGACCACAGAGCATTAACTGAGTGCTGGATGTTACTCACTCGTGCTCCCTACCTTCAGGGACTGTAGAGGGATTTTCCAGGCCCCACTTCACAGAGAGCCGTCCTGTAAGGATCTCCCCAGGAGGCAGCCCATAGAGAGAAGTGGCCTGCCTGGGGTCTCCACTGCCTTAAGTCCTACGTGGACACCTCCAGGGCTGAGGGGCTCAATAGCTTTTCACCTACCTGTAATCCATATATCAGCTGGAAAATTCTGCCTCTTTTTTTTTGTTCTTTTGTTTGTTTATTGGTAGGAAGCGTTTTAATTACTTCTTCAGTTCTGTCAGCCATTAGAGGGCTATTCAGGATTTCGTTTTCCTTCTTGAGTCCATTTTGATAAGTTATTGACTTCTAGGAATTGGTCCATTTTATCTGCATTCTCAAATTTATTGGCATAAAGTCCCCTTTTGAAAGATTCCCTGCTGAATATAATCTGTAATCATGTCTCCTTTTTCATTGCTGATATTGGTTATTTGTGCCTTCTCCCTGTTTTTCTTAATCAATCTCACCAGAGGTTTGTCTATTTTATTAGTCTTTTCAAAGAACCAGCTTTTGGCCCTGCTGCTCCTCTCTATCGTGTCTTTGTTTTCTATTTCTTTAATTTCTGCTCTCATCTTTTTTGATCTCCTTCCCTCCACATTTTTTGGATTTATTCTGTTGTTCTTTTTCTGATTTCTTACGTTGGACATGGAGCTCATTCATTGTCAGCCTTTCTCGTTTCATAACGTGTGCATTTAAGGATAGAAATTTCCTTCCAAATACTACTTTTCTACACATTGAGACATGTCGTATTTCGTTATTGTTCGGTTTCCAGTACTTCAGCATTTCCATCGTGGTTACTTATTTGGTGAGTTCTATAGAAGTGTGTTTACAAATTTCTAAAAGTGTGGGAATTTTTATTGTATCTCTTTGTTATTGAATCTATCTTAATTGCATTATAGTCTGAGTATGTGGTCTGTGTGATAACAACTCTTTGAAATTTATTGAGACTTGTTTTATGGCTTAGTATATGATCAATATTTTTGAATGTTTCCTATGTGCTTTATAAGATGTATGTTCTCTAATTGTTGAACACAGAGTTCTGCATATGTCTATTATGAAGTTTGTTAATTGTATTGTTCAAAGTTTCTATATCGACACTGATTTTTTGGTCATGCTATGCCAGTAATTGTAAGAAGTGTGTTAATTTTCAACTATGGTGGTAGATTTATCGTCTGCTTCTCCTTATAGTTCTTTTTAAAAATTTTATATATTTTGAAGATATTTTATTAGGAATATTCAAATGAAGAATTGTTATACATTCCTGGTAAACATGTAATGACCCTCTCTATTCTCGATAATGCATTTTTGAAGTCTATCTTATCTTACATTAACACGCGCTTTTCTTCTTGTTTGGGTTTGTGTGGCACACAGTTGTCCATCCTGTTCTTTTTCAACATTGTCATGCCCTTATGCTTTAATTGTATCTCTTGAAAATGGCATATAGCTGGACCCTTTAAAAATTCTAATCTGATGTTCTCTTTTAATGGGCAAGTTTACTCTGTTTGCATTTTCTATGATATATTTGGACTTGTTTGTACTTTTTTATTTCTGTTTCCTACCACGCCTTTTCTATGCTTCATTTATCTCTTGCCTGTTTTCTTTAGTTTTGAGATTTATTTATTTGCTTTCTTATTCAGTTTTGTCTTCTAATGTTTGGGATTTACATATTGGGGGTTTTTTCCCTGTTTTTTTTTTTTTCCGCTTCTTTCTGTGGTTATCCTTGAACTGTTCCCATGCATGTGTAACTTATAAGGCCTAAAGTTAAATCGCATTTTTACTTCTTTCTTGAAGAATGCAGGAACCTCACACCTTTTCCATCCCCTCTTTGCCACATGCTATTGTCTTGAGTATATTAGTTTGTTCCTTTTTTTTTTTTTTTTTGCTAACCTTGCAAATTACACATCGTCGTATTATTTTATATAGACAATATATGTTTGGATTTACATGCATACATTCTTGCATCTCAGACCATCATTCTGGGATCATTTGTCATAAGTACAATGTTTACATGCTCTCTCAGTACAGGTCTTGTGGTATTAAATTCTCCCGGGTGTTTGTTGTTATATGCAAATGTCTGTAATTTATCCTCATGCTTAAAAGACAACTTGTTATAGGTATTTAGAAGTTTGCTGTCAGTCTAATTGCTATTTTTGGTAGGTGTTATTGTTTTTCTTCTACTCTGGCCACTTTTAAGAAATTCTCTCTGTCTCTCTCTGTCTCTGTCTCTCTCAGAGGGGGATGTGCAGGGGATTATGCAGTTTCAGTCTAACATGTCTAGGCATGTATTTCTTTTTTATTCTACTTTGGAAGTGTGCTTCATGCTTTTGGATTCATGTTTTTTATAATTTTAGAAAATCCTCAGCCATTATCTTTTAAAATATTGCCTTTCTTCCATTCTTTCTGTATTTTCTTTCTCAGACTCCAGTAGTCATATTTTGGGCTTCATTATATCTTCCATATGTCATCTCGTCTCATTGATATTTTCTATTTCCTTGTCTTCCTGCGCTTCATTCTGGGCAGTTTCTTCATATTTATCTTTAAGTTTACTGATTCCCTCTTCAGCTATATCTGATCTACTGGTTAATTCATCTACTGAGTTTTTTTATTTTGCTTGGTGTATTTCATTTGTACAAGCTGTATATAGTTTGCTTTCTAATCTGCCTAGTCATCCCTCATAGTCTCTTTTTGCTTGCTCATCTTTGTGGCCGCATCTGTTATTTTAAAAAACATCTTATATATATTATACAACAATCACTGTTGACATAAGTATGACATTGTAATTACTGTCCACATCCAAACCACACTCTTAGACATCCTTTGTTGTTTTCCTAGTAATTGTCTGGTTTTTTTTCTTTTGCCTAGTGTTACCATACCTATTATTAATTCTTTGAAATTCCTTTTAAATCCATATCAGATCATGTCTCTCTGTTAGAAATTCTACCGTGGCTCCCAGCTCCCTCAGAATAAAACTCGAAGCCCTCATGATGGCCCAAAAGTCTACAAAATCTGGTCCCCATCTTCTTTCTAACCTCATATCCTATTAATCTTCCAATTACTCACTCTTTTCCAGCCACTCTGGTCTTCATGTTCCTCAAACATGTCAGGTACCCTCCCCTTTCAGAGCCTTTGTACCTGCTGTTCTCAGTGCCTGGAACACTCTTCTTTCCAGATAATCTCGTGAGTTTCCCACCCACTTCCAGTGTGCTCAGATGTCACCGCCCTAGAGAAGCATTCCCTGACCAGCGCGACCAAACTAGTCCCATTCACTAGTGTTTTCTAACTCTACTTGATGTCGTATGTTTTTGTACAAAACACTGACTACCACCTGATATATTTTATATCTATTTATTGTGATTAGTGTTTGCCTCTTCTCAGTAGACTGTAAGCTCCATAAAGCAGGGACTTTGTTTTGTTCACTGTTGTATTCCCAGTGCTAAGAATAACAGTGCATAGTAATATTTAGTAGACCCTCAATAAATATTTATGGAACAAACTGTATTAATTAATGTGGATGACAGAGAAATACATTGAGAACTAGGCTAGGCATGAAGGCCTTTCATGCCATGCCAAGGAGCGTGTATGTCATTGTTCAGAAGGGTGAGGGCTATGAAGAAGCAGTGAGGATAGCTCCTGGGTTCTTTCAAGAAGCAGGTTCACAGTTGGTAGGGTGGTGACAAAGACCCATGTTCTCTGTGACTTGGTATATGCCCTGGGGCTCCTGAAGGTGGACCTGCCTCTTTTTATGTTTGTTTGTTTATCACTTATTTATTTTTAAATTTTTTACGTTTATTCAGTTTTGAGAGAGAGAGAGAGAGCACGAGCAGGGGAGGGTCAGAGAGAGTGGGAGACACAGAATCCGAAGCAGGCTCCAGGCTCCGAGCTGTCAGCACAGAGCCCAACACGGGGCTTGAACCCACGAACCATGAGATCATGTGCTGAGGTGAAATCAAGAGTCAGATGCTTAACCGACTGAGACACCCAGGCGTCCCAGACCTGCCTCTTTTTCAAACAGCCCTCAAACTCCTATGTGGTCATGCCTGTCTTTTGGTAAAAACCAAAGCCTCAGCTCTCGCTTGGCCTTGTGATCCCAACTAGGATCCCCCTTTCTCTTGCTCTGTAAGTAACTGTTTCTTGGTCTCAGGCCAAGAAAATCACCCCCATTGGACTTCTTTTTGGTTGGAGGTGGTACAGAAGCTGGTACGAAGCCTGGCATCTAGTAAGTACTGTTATAATGGTGGACTACATGGGGAGGTAAGTTTCAGCTCAAAAAACCTTTTCTCCATTGTCAAGGCTGCAATTGGTTGTGAGGTTTTAGTCCCGACTTTTCTCCTAAACTCCTTGGGGACCACGGTAGCTCCAGTGTATCTACTTGCCCAAGAGTGTTGGGATGCTAATTCTGTTGTCTAATGTGCAACATACTCCCTTAGTTTTTTGTCACCCACTGATTTCATCCAAATGCCATCATTATACACAGGGCTCTGCAGCACCCCGCTAGAGATTTCCCTCCCCAGACCAATCATTACCAGTGGAAAACTGTCTAATTAGTTATAAGTTTAGTTGAGCAAAATTGACTGACTTCCTACTCTGTGTCAAGCATCCTGCTATACGACTGAGGACCCAGAGATGAACAAGGTGTGTTCCCGGGCAAGAACCATAATTCAGTGTGGTTAGTACAGTGGATACAACAGACTGCAAGAGCCTCTGAGGAACGCAGAACCCAGGTCAGGGGACCAGGGAAGATTCCTTAGAAGAGATGGCATATGAGCTGGGCTTTAAAAATATGAGTAGGAATTTTCTGAATGACTAACAAAGGAAGAGGAAGTCAGTCCAGGCAAAGAGTACAGCATGAGCAAAGGCCAGAAGATAGGAAGGCGGATGATGTATACTAACTTGCCTAACCTCACTTACTATTCACCTGCCTTCCTATGAGATCCTCCTAAGTTACTCCAACACCAAAACCCAGATGTGAGGAGTTTGTGGGCAACCCCCCCCCAACATGCCAATGTGTTAGAACTCTTAAGTAATGAAAAGTTGGTCAGACATGACTGTCCATGAGCTTGTCCACACCAGTTTCCAATGTCCCTGGCTTCCTTATCTAGACCATGATATTCATGTGACCTACTTCCCTTAGACGTCCCTGGGGTTGGGGTCATTCTCACTCTCCTGGAGATGTCAGAGTCTCCCTCAGCCCTGTGTGTGGGGATCTCCTTGT